CTGTTGCTTTTTTTAAAAGCTCTGGAGACTGTAAATGTTCACATGTTTTACTGAAGTATTGCAAAAGTAACATTCATTTATAACATTTGAAGGATTATTCATGGAAAAATTATGCAAAGGAAAAAACAGTGAGATCCTTTGGGATATGTGTAAACTTTTCCAAATGTTCTTGCCACAGATCTCTGAACAGCACTCGGCTCTCTCTGATGAAATTGTCTCACGTTCCCCAATGCAAACAATTTTTTAATAACATTTTAGTATTTTCATACATTATTCTTGTGCATGTCAGCATAATCTTGAAAATGTTGCTGAGGAATAATGAAAACCAAACTAACCCTTGTTCATGCCAGCTGACTGGAAAATCCTGCTAAGAGTGCTTTGTCTCCATGAAAGGCAAAATAACAGAATAGAAATCATGGTAACAGTATGCACTAGGAGCGGAGCCAGAGGAGTAAAGACAAGAGTTAGCAGTAGCAGATGACTTCACTTATTGGAAAAAAGGGGCAAAGTAACTCAATCCCAAATGAATTTAAATATTCGAATTTTGTTATCAGCAGTATCAGGCATAACTTCCCCAGCTAATTACTCATCAGTCTGGTATGTTCATAAACATCCCTTGGTCTATGCAGTTTTCATCAGTACCTCACTGCTTACCCTCTTTGGCATCCTTCTTGGCATGGGCTCTCTTTGTCTCTTACTCCTTTACAGAAATGTGGTTGTCTGCCCTCTGCCCCATAACTCATGCTGACACTGCATCCCAGATTTCTTGCTGAACTGAGTGTGGCCAGCAGCACAGGTCCTGGCTGAGGAGAACTCCATAAACTTCACCATTCTTCTTCACAGACACTTGGCAGCAGAGCAGATGAGAAGACTTTGTAAAGGTGTTCAAGGTCAGATTCTTTTTACCTTAGCACGGGGCTAACAGAGCTAAACTGTACAGATTTCCTTCTCTTGCCTTGGAGACAAAGAGGATGCAGGACCACATTGAAAATGGCCACTCCAGACAGAGTAATATCAGCACAGATGATATATCTGTTTCCATCTGATCCCACAGAGCATTGTTTTCTGCCATAAGGATGTTCACTAAAGACACCTAACTAGGAATTTAAATAAGTCACAGATTCACAGCATGGGTAGAAGAGACCACAGTGGGTCATCTAGTCCATGCTCCCTGCTCAAGTAGAGTCATGCTACAGCACATGACACAGGATTGCATCCAGATGGTTCTGGAATCCCTCCAGTGGAGGAAAGTCCACAGGCTCTCTAGGCAGCCTGTTCCAGTGGTCTGTCAACCCAGCTCCATTTCCTTCTTTCAGGGAACTGATGCAAGCAATTGTGATTGCCATGTATAATAGCAAGGAAGCCAGGCTGGAACCGTTGTGTTACATTGTCAGACTCTTATTTCCACAAATTCTGTCACCCTTGACACATCACACCTTAAACCAGGCAATATTTCTATGTGAACTGAAATTTTATTCCCTAATACTGTTATCAATCTGAGACGTAGAGTCCTTTTAGAAATACTACATCATTTGTTTCAGCAAGGGATGTGGGGATGTGGGTGGTGTTAACAAATTTTTTCTGTTCCGAGYTTAATAAAAGCTCTTGCTTAAATCAAGCAATGATCATCTTCATAATGATTAATCTTTAAATAATTGTGTGTTGCCATCATATTAGTGCAAATTTCAGTCCATGCTCCCTAAATGGAGGGGAAAAAAGGGAGTGTACAGTGAAAAGTCTCAACCCTTTTCTTGCGAGATAATATTTCTCAATTTTGTACATTTTGATAGTAACATTTAAATCTACCTGGAGTCAAATCCAGCCAACTTTGATTTTGTAATGGCTCAATTATGTCAGCACTGGACTTGTTACGTTGCTGTTCTTTCTGATAAAGTAATTTTGATGCAGTCTCATGCTTTTATTTTGCTGCATATCAATGTTTTGGAATGAAATTAAACAGTCTTACTGCTTTCAGATCTGTGATTCTCCTCAGTGAGAGAGTTTAAACCTTTAAATTATTACAAATGTTACACAATTTAAATTATTTCTACAAATGGCACAGTGTGAGAAAGCACTTCACTGTACTGGTAATCCCTCAGGGCTGTTCCTTAAGATAGCTACTCTTTCACAGGCTGTGGTTTTAGTAGCTTGTTAAAAATAATATTTCAGTAGCATTCAGCAAACTTAAAACAACTTAATGTCATCCACTTGAAAAAAACTTAACGTAAATCAGGATTGAGAACTGGCACCAGAAAGACCTGAATGACACAGCAGGAAGCAATATAAAAATGAACAAATCCTGCAGCCAAATTAAGGGACAAGGCTCAGAGAGGGCACATTTACACTGAAGTTTATGCTGTGTTTCAGAGCAAACTCTTGCTGATAAATGCTTGTAATTTTCATGGAAATTCTGTTGTAGCTGACACTGTCTTTATATTGGGTTTCAGTTCCAATATGTTTTAGGCTGCTTAGCAGGCAATAAGCACCTCAGTAGTCTTCAGTATTTTACTGTTCACAAGTTGAAAAGTAAGTGATGGAAAGGCACTACAAACAAAGCATGTAGAGCAAGCTTCTTTTTGGGAGCCTAGTCCATTAGAATAACCGGAGGATTTCAAACAAAAGAATGTGTAATCATTTCTGAAACTTCTGAATGCATTTATTTTATCTCTGCATAACTTTTAAGTATTTGTAATGAAAACCTGTGGTAAAAGACTTCAGTGAAACTTATACTCTCGCTACCAATGCAGCAGGTAGGATTTTTCAGACCTAATGATGAAATATTAATCCATACAGTTTTTTCATTAAACTAGGCAACACATAATTGTGCTCATATTCATACTTTTCTGTTGTAATTTGTGCTTCACGTTCATGGCGGAAATGGAAAATGAACTCCTTTGGTTTTAGGGAAGAAGCTTCCAACGTTGTGTTACAGCCCAAACACATCAATATTTTATTTATATGTATGGCATGAACATTGTACTTGGCCATCTCCAGCCCTCCAGGTGTGTGTCTCTGGGTGAACCTCTGGATGAAGTAACCTTTGCAAGTGCATTTTAAAAAACTGCATGTATCCTTTAAGTATAAGACCTTCTCTAAAGCTGCCTATGCCAGTGACTGATGCAGTGACTGTCGTGTTTCACAAATTCTCAATTGTGTCATGGTAGCAAAGACAGGCAGGCAAAAATGCTGTCTTGATCGTATATATGAATGAGGCAGAAAACACGCTTTAAAACTGTTTTGTTTTTGTTCTCCTACAAAATTGATTATCTGATGAGTAACACTACTGAAGGTTCCCTCAAGGAGAGAACATGTCCCTCCTTTCTCTATTGCTAAAAGAAGTTTTGTCTTTTTGCTTGTCTTGAGGCTCCTTTCATTATTAATTAAGCAGCATAATGAACTGTTTGCTCAAGTGTGCAGAGCGCTGCATAGATAAATTCTTTCCTCTCACTGCTAGGAAAAATCCTTTGTTATTTTTCCTAGTTACAACCAGGTTTGTGTTGAAATTCCAGAGTCTAGGCTATGGGAAAATAAAAATGCAAGTAATTTGGAAATAAGTTTTGTGTTTCACACAACTTGATATAAGTCTGTATTGCAGAGTGAGTATGGACAGTAAAACATCTTGAGTTTATTTGCATTATTTTTTCCTCTTACTGGGACAAACTCATTACCAGTTTTCCTATTTCTTGTCTCTCATGAATCCTCAGTTCAAGATAGAAGAAGTTGACAGCTTGTGTGCTTCAGGATAGAGAGTAGCCTATATGAGAAATGGAATGACTCAAGTAGGGAGAGACCCCAAAGAATCATTGAGTCCAACTCCCCGCTCTTTGCAGGGCTACACAAAACTAAATATCACTCAAGTGTTGTTCAGACTCACCCCGTACTCTGACAGGCTTGGTGCAATGAGCAGTTCTCTGGGAAGCCTTGTCTCAGAACCATTTCTGTTAAAAGCGCACCTTCACAACCTGTTGTCAAATTGTGATCTCGAATGTTGGTGTTTTGGATTGGATTGGAGATTTTACCTGTTTTAGGCCACACACTTTTGTAAAGATTCTCATTATGCTTGTACATGGCTTTTCACCAAGTTTCGTCTTGTGTCAACCTTTTAATGCGTGGATTTTGGTTATAGAGTCCAGAAGCTGACCAAAGTGAGGTTGCTGAAGCCTCCAGGAAGTGATTTTTGTAATGCAGAGGGAAGTCTGTTCTACTTGTACATGGACTGTCCCAAGGAGAAAGATATGGGGCGGATGGCCACTTTCATGACCACTCTTCCACTTTTGTCACAAGCACCAATGCCACAATTAAATGTTTAAGAGTGAAATCTCAACTTCATTGTTTATTGTGAAGCCAAGAATAGCCTGACATTTACTGAGGGTTATGATAGGCCTTGTTTTCCACTGTATTGCAAAGTTCGCCTGCCTTTTGTGAATAGCATCAAGGAGCTGAAACAAAAACAGTTTGTCCAGGTTTTCTGTCAGGCCCCATAAAATTTGTAAATTGAGAGGAAGAGTGATTGCAGCGAGACATCTCCAGAGCTCATAGATATTTGAGAAGTAGTACATTTGTCTAAGCCCCTCCTTTCTCTTACATGCTCAAGCTGTGGGTCAGTATGAGCAGATTGTTTACAGTTTATTCACAACATGAAGTTGTGAACAAAATTCAAAACACATGTTACCATTCCTATTCACACCTGAAGTATAAACTGACTTTATGGCTCTGCATGTTACACTTTGGCACATCCAGCTGTTGTAAAGATGCCAAGAGTTTTTGTAGTTCATGGTTAACAGTATGAGCAAAACCATTTTAAAAATTACTTCCAGGGCGTTCAAGATTATGGACAACAAAAATGGATGGTGTAACCATAATGTGCAAAAAACAGTGCTTCAGAAATGGTGCCTTTTGGTTATCTGTAATAATTCATTTTAATCAGGGCCTAAACACACCAGCCAATTAAATTTTTGGGATTTGCATCACTTCAGTATTAAAGAATCTCTGTCTTTTAGGTCCATCTGATATGTCAGCAATTATGAAATTCAGCAGGAGACCCACGTGTCCTGATGCCTCAGTCGCAGCAAGTCTACCTACACCTCCTGTCCCAAGGCACCGGAAGAGTCACAGCCTGGGAAACAAGTGCGTAATCCCAGCTGTCTCATGCTCAGGCAGTTACATGCATCACAGAAGTTTAAGCTAGCAGCAGAGTTTGTTAGTATTTGTGCTTTCCATTTCTTGTATTGCAGAAGTGCATCAGGCTTTACTGTGTATTCACTAGGTTTTCTCTTGACACGAGCTAGTGCCAGACATTGGCAATACTTGAAAGGTGCTTATCCACTTTGATCTGTGGATTCTTGGTGTGCATAACTGGTACTTTTTTTCTTTTGTTTTTTACATGTCTTGCTACAMCGTATTCAGGAAAGTTGTGACCTTTTGCACTATGTTACCTGGGTAATATGGATTAGAAATATTTTTCTCTACCAATTACCCAATTAAGTGAGAGTACCTGCTCCTCAATTAAGGTTTCAGCATCTACCAATTTTAACAATTAACGGTGACTTGTCCAAGGTCATGGAGCAAAGATGTGTTAGTTCAGCTTAGTGAAGGAGCACCAAGCAGGGGCTTAAGTGGAGTCTTCTTTTTCTGGTTTTCTGCTTTTGTTGCCACCAAGGGTGTTCAGGTTTTGTATGGAGAGGAGTCAAAACATTTACAGCTTCCCAATGCAGAAATTTAATAATTGTTACTGACAAAGAGAAGAAAAATCTGAAACTTGTTTTGGTAGTTAGGGAGCATATGTACAGTAAATGGCAGCTTATAATTGCCTGCTCCTTAATAAACTGCTGATGAGGTAGAGGCCAAGCGGAAGGTACCTGTGAGCCAAGGGTTGCTGTTGGATGACATGAGGGGTTTCATGTTTTTCTCTTCTTCATGTTCCAGTATGATGTGTCAATTGAGTGTCGTGGAGAGCAAAAGCGCCACGTTCCCGACAGAGCGGCCGCGGCACCTGCTGGATGACAGCGTCCTGGAGTGTCACAGCCCGGCGCGCGGCCACACGGCCAGCACGCGCCTGGCCAACGGCCTCTCCAGAGGTAGGGGCTGCCACCCCTGCTCCCGGCCCAGGCTGCTGCAGGTTCACTCATAGCTGAAAGCAGGCAATAAGAAACATCATTATTTCCCACGCAAAGACTGTTTTTGTGGAAGAAAGTAGATCAGAACTGCTACCTGGTCAATGWTACCTTGGCTTTCCTCAGTTACCCACTGATGCTTTTGCTAACAGTGGCATGAAGGAAGATTGGTTTTGTAGATGCTTGGTGTGTGACACAAAGTGCTTGTCAGTTTTCACCAGGGAAAAAGTGGATATATTTTTTAAAAGCTACCTTTTCACAAAAAAAAAAAAAAAAAAAAAAAAAAAAAGTTAAAATTAGAAGATGGGAGAATTGTTTGGCTGTATTCTCTGAGACTTCAAAAGAGACATTAAATGAACACATTATGATATTGTAATTAATAAAACAATCATTATAATATTAACAAAGTGATCAAAAACTTGTGTTCTAAGCAAGAGAAAGGCATGTTTTAAGAGGCTCAGGCTGTTTCTAGAATAGGAATTTGACTGTGAAAGATAGCACATTACTTGACCACGAGTTAGACATTGAGATGATCTTTGCATTTCTGAAAATACAGGCACAGCTCACTGTGCTTAAACTGAGCATTGGAAGATCAGTCCTGGGCAAATTCAAATTGTGTGCTAAATAGTGTGAGCTAATTTGTGCCAGAAAAGGAGAGACAAGTTGGTCATGGGCTTGGAGGAGAAATAGGAACTTCGGTTATGAATTCCATCATATATATTTTTAATAACTCCTAGCAGCAGCTTACAACTGACATAGCCTCTGTTGGAGGTGCTTGCTTCTTGAAAATAAACTGACACCATATCTAATAACTTGAATCAACGTATGGACATTGTGGTGGAAAAACTGTCTTACAAAGGACCTGGATTTTATGTTCCTGAAGTGCTCAGCCTCTAAAGTAAAAGCAGCATGATGAAAATTAAAGTAATGATGTTTAAACACAGCAGTAACATGAGTTAACAGTGAGATACTATAAATGGAAAGATTCATGTAAGCCTCTTCCAACTAAAGATTTTACCATGAACTCTAAGCACTTCTACTTCAAAACATGATTTGAGTCAGCAATGTCCATGGCATCATATAAAGAGTATTTTGGTGATCCACATACCTTGGCTTTGTATTTTCCCATGGGTGGTTTTCTTACTCCTTCTCTGTACTACTCTCTTTCTAGATAGCAGTGAAAGCTCAGAATTTAGTGAGGACCTGCCGTCAGGGCTTGAAAGGTGAGTTAGTCTTCATGTACACTCACTGAGCACTCTACAGACTTAGCTGAGAAATTCACAAATGATCCCTAACATAGGTAAGCCCTAAATCAATAGTTATTTTTGTCAAATTATTGATCAGTTAGGAAAAAAATGCCAAACATTTTGAAATAAAGCACTGTAAAAGTATTGGACCTGAAAAGATTGGGAAATGTCTCTGTCATGTTTACCAAACCCTAATTGTTGAAGTCTCAAACTAGAATTTCCCTCATCAGATATTTGCATTCACAAACAGGGGCCGTTTATATGCCACTCTGGGGCCTAACTGGAGGGTACCAATCCGGAATTCTCCTAGGAGTCGAAGCTGTGTCTACAGGTACAGTTCAGGGTCTACCTCGTTCATTGTGTGGTGCTAAACTTCAATTGGAGTCTTTACGCTTTCCTAATGTAAGATATTTTGTGTCCAAATATCCTTGTATGGCCGTAACAACTCATGTAGTCTTCCCCTCCTGCTTGTAAAAGCTCCTGTTAATGCTAAAGCAGAGGTGTGGCCCATTCAGATGAAATTCAGTTTAGTTGTTGATTTAGCTAATTATGTCTGGCTTCCATTTTGCAGAAAATTAGTCTTTACTTTGGGTTTTATGATATTATGGAAGCAGGTTTGTCATGAAGGCCTTCTTTGACTCCTGTGACAAGTAATCATATTAGAAGGATACCTTCTTGACCCTTTCCCACAATCTATTTCCTGATTTACAGGACAGCTACCCATAACATCTCTTTGTGTCAGAGCTATAGTGTGGTGTGTTGATTTTGTTCAGTAAAAGGGTATTACCTTGGACCTCAAGTAAGAGAGGGAACCTCTGCAAGCAGTATGTAGCAGATACTCACAATGTTGCTAGTCACTAAGATGTGAACTTTCCAGAAAGATGTAATCCATTTACAGACTAAAGAGAGGTGACACGGAAAATTTTATATAGATTGAGGGACGAAGATCATTCCTTGCATCTGTACCTGACCTGAATTTGATAAATGCTGTCAAAAGAAGATGTATGTTTCAACAGCTAAGAAAGAAGAGAATTCTGAATCAGTATTCTGCAAATACTATGATTTAACTGCAGTTTAAATCCAGTCAGATTTTGCTTTGTTTAAATTAGTTTGCTTCAGTCACTGTAGAAGTGTTGATATAATTATAAATGTAATTATTGCTGCTTTATCTGAGCTARTAACATGTGATAGCAGTACAAGTCAGAAGTTAGACAGGAATAAAAATGCATACTTCATAAATTTGTGAAGGAATACAATTTTGGAACAGTATTTCAGCTGTTGTACCTGCTTCTGGGAAATACTTTCTTAACATGACTATGGTAGATTTGTTTCAAAAACATATACAAGCTAGAAATATAAAATGTAAGATAAAAATGTGAAAGGCCTATTAAATCCACAAGGAAGAATTATTCCCTGAAATACATTTCTTATGTTTATCCACCATCAAATAATTGTAATGCTTGTATTCATTCTTCCTTTTCTGAAACCTTCTACTGCCTCTGTCAGAAATAGAGAATTGGCAAGAGTGCACAGTAGCACAGAGCAGGCAGGTCCATGCAATGGAAGAGGATGCCTTTGCCAGTTGGGAGGGCTATGCTGTGCCAGGGCTGGCTGTCCATAGCACTTGCACRCGCATGCGTTCACACTCCTTTGTAGACAGAGCAGCGTTCCTTTCCCAGCCGAAAGGCAGATCATACACATCCTTTTCTTTGTATTCATTATTAGACGTGATTTACTTGGTGCTGACAAAGCTCATTGGTTCATATAGGAACATCAGGGTCATGATGACATGGCAGTGAAGAGAAGTTAGCTGCAGATAACCTACCAGCCAATATTTGGTTGAGACATTACTAATGATTGTTTGAATTTCTAACTTTASTTGTACTTTCGCTCTATCAGTTGTATCTCTTTTCTCACTATTGTATGTGGGAAGTTTCATGTTCGTTCTGGAAAAGGAAAAAAAATATTGTAATCTCTGTACAGTAAATTATTTAGCATTTTAATTTTGTTTTCCCAACTCTTTTCCAATTAGGCATGGTAATTTCCTGTAATTTAAAATTACATTTGTGAGAGCCCTTATTGCCAAAACCTTTGCCGAAATTATCTGCCAAAATTCAGATAATTTCTGTAATTCACCAGAATAAAAAAGAAAACTGCCTGTTTTCACTTTGGCTTTTGCTTACAGTATTTGTTTTATTTTGTCATGTGTAAACCCCCAGATAGAACCTTTTGTTAATTTGCTATTTTTGAAAGAGCCTAGTTCCTATTTGATAGCTAGGTTAGGAAAAGACATAATCCAGAGTCAAGTTTCAGGTGATACAATATGCGTAAAGCAGTGCAGGATAAATATATTTTGAGCTAAATTATATTGCTTACTTATCGTCCTCATTTGTCTACTCAAATACATAGAGGAATGCTTTGTCTATCCAGCCCAACAGGCACATGCAGCTGCACAGCAGGTGTTTCCACAGGAGTCATTACCATGGAAGGGCCTTTAAGAAGAAAAACACTGCTCAAAGAAGGCAAAAAACCTACTGTAAGTGATTATAAATAGAATTATTCCTATGATCCTAATTCATTAGTGGCTGTTTTTTTCAGGATTAAACCTGCAGTTTGATACTACACAACACAACAGTTTTATCAATTGTAATTTTCTGATCAAAATTATAACCAAGTTATAACAAAGTTGTAACCTTTGTGTGTCATTTGATCTGCAGCAGTTTTGCTTCTCCCTGCACTTGCAAGTCCCATTTCTAGCTGTAACAGCAGAGCAGGAGTGAAGCAATTGTGTAACCAGTAAGCATTGTTGTGAGGACAAAAATAAACCTTGTGGCATTGCCTGATGACCCAGAGCATCCTGATACTTCCAGCTAAATAACTCCGAGAAAGGCAGATATTGCAGGATGGACAATGCATTCCGTTTCTGTGACAAGACATAAAGTAACAACTATTAATGAGTTTATAGATTACAGAACTTGCAGTGGCTCTCATAAAAGACTGAAGAGGGAGTTTTTCAGTATAGAATTTTCGAGAGGGTACAAATTAAATTGAACATATTTCTACAGCATATTTTTGTGCTTTTATGGTATCACAATAAAATGGAAATGCTGCGGGACAGCCAACCATAGCATCAAAGTAATGGCAATTAGTAGTTAACCTAAATTCATGGATTTCACGTGGTTCTAGTTCTATGCATTTGGTAAAATTTTTTGTAGAGTTGATTGATATATTCCACATGCAACCCAGTTTAGTTCAGAGCTAAAAAATTTGAAGAATTGCAGAGGTGTCATCTCAATAAACTTTTTTATCAAAAGTCTAAGATCTGTCCAGCAGAAGGCAACCCACTGCTCCAAAACAACATTGTGCTCTGAAACGATCAGTACTGATACATCTATGAGATATCCAACTGAGAAGGATTGTATTCACAGCCAGCCATCAAAATTTAGGTAGCTGGGCTGATTTACCCCAGGAGGCACTCTTTCTCTCCATTCCTTGCTTCTGAAATTAACTTTGGTAGCACTTGGATTTGCCTGTGAATAGATTTTTGAAATTTCAGAGATAAGCAGAGTTTTTTACTATTTTTTTTTTCTTTTTCATTCAGCTCACATCATGGACTAGATACTGGGTCATGCTTTCAGGATCAACTCTGCTGTACTTTGGAGCAAAATCTTTAAGAGGCACTGAAAGAAAACATGTAAGCTTTAAATTTGTTCTATAAACAAAAATAGAATAATCAGAAGTAGATCTGGAAGGGCATCCAAGGTGCACTTTCTGTTCCAGCTAAGCCATATGTCTGCACAACTTTTACAGTCAAAAGATAATCTCTGCGACAGTCTCAGCTGTGAGTGATTTGTCTGTCTTTTCCAGTATAAGTCTACACCTGGGAAGAAAGTCTCCATTGTGGGCTGGATGGTGGCACTGCCTGATGACCCAGAGCATCCTGATATTTTCCAGCTAAACAACCCTGACAAAGGTAGATATTGCAAGATGGACAATGTCTGTGTTATGTTTCTGTGACAGGGAGTAGATTAATATCTATCAATGACCTTGTAGATTACAGAACTTGCTGTGACACTCATAAAAGTTTGAAGAGGGAAGTCTTCAATACAGATTTTTCAAGGAAAGGTACAAATTAAATGGAACATATTTCTACAGTGTGCTGTGGTGCTTCTGTGGTGCCTGCAGAGAGATTGCTTTATTTTGACAGTAACTGTAAGTTTTGCAGAATTCACCAACTGATATGAGGTTGCAGCATGTCCATGTGTCTTCCTACACTGATCTCCAAGTTTGTGAATAGCTTCCTTAAAATCAGTCAGTATCAAATCTTGACTTACACTGAAGCAAATAAAAATATCAAACCATTTACCAAAATAAGTCTGCTAAGTAATTTTTAAATACTTTTTAATAATAAATTTTGCAGTGACATAACTCTTTCACCATGATTAAACTCCAAAGTTATTTTACACTTTGAGTGGTTGCTTACAGATATTTGAGGCTTTCTTCACCTCATATGTTTTCAGCTTTGGTGGTGGATGTGGAGTTGCATCTACTGTGAAGTGCATCTCTTGGGTGTTAACTAAAATGCACAAAATATTTGAAAGCAGGAACAATTTGCAATAGGATGTTGACGATAACTAAGTTTACAAACACCAGAAACTTTATTAGAAGCCATAATGAGAAGAAAGCCAGGATTGAATTAGATCTGACCTACGTGGTCTTTTCTGTGTCTGTAACTTGGCCTTTTTGCCTATGAGGCCATATATATTCACCCAAGGATTGCTTCACATAGACTCTGTTATATTAGAAACATCATGTTTGAGCATTTGAGGTGCAAATTAATTTAAGAATTTACTTCAGGACTTTGGCTTATGCACAGAAATTAGTGTCCCTTGAAACTGCATGTCTGTCTGCAAATTCAGTGTCTGACATTTTCTTGTATTTTTAGGCAATGTTTACAAGTTTCAGACTGGTTCAAGGTTTCATGCAATATTATGGCATAAACATTTGGATGATGCATGCAAAAGCAACAAGCCTCAGGTAAGGCTGTGAAAACTATTTCTACCCACATTTTTCTTATTTTCCAGAAATCCCTTGCTAGAAAAGGTACCTCTTTCGATCTGTGCGCACACAAATTCCTGTGGGGATAAATATAATTCCTCATTCGGCACATTGATCCATTTTTTCAATAGGAATAAGAAAAATTATTTAAAATTAGAGAATTTCCATCAAATCTGGTTTTGTGCAGGTCTAGCTATAGGTTTGGTTACGTTTAGAGTATAAGAACCTCTACTCTCTGTTGCTTCAAGACAACATCATCTCTTCTTCAGAAGGGACCRTCTCATGGAAAATGAAAGCAACCATGCTAGGATGGACTCAATGATCTTAGAGATCTTTCCCAAATGTAATGATTATATGAATAATTTACGATCTCTTCCAGGTACCTGCAAATCTAATGTCATTCGAATAATTTCCTCTCCTACCGGGTGTGACTTCAAGTGCCAAACTGAAGAAACAGGTTATTGTTCTCTAAGGAGGAAGAGGAGAATGGTTTTCCTGACATGAGCCAACCACAAATATTTCAGCACTTTCCTATGTAACTTGAAAGTGATTCTGACACAGCTTTTAAAAGCAGAACGTGAATGTTGTCCCTAGGACCAGATAAAGTCTCATGCACTGAGTGAAAGCAGACAAGTTAGATGGACAGAAGATTAATCCTGACTCCTGCAGGGTTCTAGAGCCTCAACTATTTGTGGTCAGAGACTGCATGAACTGATATTTGGCCACAAACTGAGCATCGTATCTTCTGCCTATTCTTTTTTAAATGGTTCTTTTTATTGTTAAGCTGCTTTGTGTGACTGAAGAATATTTGGCCCATGTTGGGTTTCAATTCTTTCTAATGCACAGAATGGTTGACAGTGTTAACTTGCTCCAAAGTGTCAATTAGAATAGAAAATTGTGGAACAACATTTTTATAATCTAAGTGCACTGAGTTGCTTGGCAATGTGGCTGCCTCAAATTTTCTATCAGAACTCTGGACAACTCTRCTGTTCGTATTTGAGCTATTTGGGAAAAAATATATTTTGGCACAGGAGAGTTGGTTTTCTTTTTCATTCAGTTATTTTACTCAGGGATGCCCTTGCAATGGATTTAAGGCTGTTTAGATTTACGTTGTGGTGAAGTTTGCCTTTCGTTCTTTTACTGGTGGCATAGTTGCTTGCAAATTTGGGATTCAATAAATGTTAATTTCAAATCCTTTAGTACAGGGAAGCAGGTAATCAGGTGTTATGAATCACATGGCCCTGGCTTGTCAGAATCCTTCCGTATCATTGTTTCTGTTCTGYTTTTCTGTGGATGAATTGGCTCCACTCAATTCTAGTATATGCTGCAGCTCTAGGAGATTAGCACCAGTAGATGATACCGCTATTACAAAATCATGATGGCAGTGAAAGGCTGTCTAACAGTGGACCAAGTACAAAGAAGCCTCCACATCAATATCCAGAGAACAAATAAGCAAACAAAAAAATATAACTGGGCCTTTTTCTCCTCTAAAGGAACTCTCACTATGCCATATCCCTGCTGTGCCCTGGCACTGCTGCAGAATTCTTTTCTATTCCTGTTGAATTCATCACTTTTTCTGTTTGAAACTCTTTTGCATATAGCATCAGTATTCAGACTTCATCAATCACCAGAAAAAGTCCTGACTTTCCTAAATTGCATAGAGGAGAAATTGGCAATTCAGCCTCTAACTTACAAGCCAGGAACACCTTGGAAGTCACCTTAAGTGAACAGAACCTCTACTAGGACAAGCTCCCTGGCATAAGCCATATGTATTCTGTGGATTTACATGATTTTCTACATTGTTACATTGAAACTTATCTAACAACAAGAAAAAAACACCTGTATTGTTAAATGTAGGTCAAAAGTGAATTGTTTGTTGTTTTAGGAGTTTATGTTGCAATCCTGAAAGCCTAATACATACCAGCTTTTAAGAAAACCAGTTCCTGATGACAACTGCATTTAGATACTGGGACGTGGGAAAGTGTATGTAAAGTTGACAACGTTTATTTGGCAGCTCAGGAACTATGTGGAAAGAGTGGTAATGCAAAATATATTTATACCATTTTTCTCTTTTTTTGGTAACCTAAGACAACTTTGAGCTAGGAAAAACGTTGGTATCTGCAAGAGCAGGGCATTGAACACCAATAGAGATGCTGTAGAAGCTTTTGAATGTGGTAACGTGCTGTCACCAGYTAATGACTTCACACTGTTAAGACTATGAGATAGTCTGAATTATTCTGCACCTATGGACTTTTGTGATTAGTCATCAATGAGATTGAACATCTTTTTGGAATAGCACAACAAATTGCTGCTTGAGAAATTCGGATGGATGGCAGTGTAAGAATACTATTAAAAACATCCTTAACCAATTTTAAATTAGTCTTTAACTATTAAACAGTTCATAGCTGCTGATTAGAGGTGTTATGATGCCACTTGGTACCAAATGCTATTATCTGGTAATTCTATGGTTAATTGAAAGCTGCCATGGAAATACAATATATTGCCTTTCACTACTGATTATTACAGCATTTTCACAAAAAAAAAAACAAAACCCACAAACCATACAAACTTTCCTCCATCAAAGAGAATAACTGCAATAGTTATGTCAAAGTAAACAAAGTAAACATTATGTCCTATGTACTTTTTTGAGAATTGTGACAATATGAAACCATAGGTAATACTACTAGTTTATTAAATGTGCAATTTTGATGTAATTCAGTGCCAAAATACATGTTTTCCAAATAGCACTAAAATGAGGCAAAGTAGTTTCCAAATTGAGACTGACTTGTCACATTATAATGTTAACCAATTTCAACATTTTGGTTTTTGTGTGAAAACTGTTGCACTATTTTTGGCCATATTTTCCAGCAGTCCATTGCATGCCATTTGTGTAAAGGATTCTTTCTATAATTCTTGTGAACTGTCTCACCTGTAAGAACTCTGGTGTTGGAATCTAGGYTTTTGGCAAAGTATTTTGTTACCTCAGTCTTGTATCAAGTTGCTGCATTTTTCAGTTTGTTACATTGATAATAATGATTGTTTCACTAATTAAATACTTTAATGTAAAAAGAAGTTTGTTTACTACAACAGTAACTGCATTTGGTTGTAAGTTTAAAAATGTGCAGGGTATGTATGCTGTTGACAATAAAATATTCTGAAAAAAGAATAGAGGTACAGAAGGAGTCTTTTAGCTCAAAGGCAGCATGCATGTTTTATTTGTAAATGAATGGTAATACAGTTGAACAGACTTTGTAGAGCACAGTGTCTAGCCATTTAATAGTATAAATACAACAGATGCAACATTTCTAGGATGAAGTTGAAAATGCCTCCAAATTTGCAGCTTTGTCAAGTAAGATTTGGAAAGCCCATAGAAGTAGAGACAAACCTAAATTTTTTTGCACTTTAAATTTAACTCAGGAGGTTTGCAGTTGACACYAAGCTGAGTGGTGCAGTTGCCACACTTGAGGACTGGGGCCATCCAGAGAGGCCTGGACAAGCTTGAGATGTGGCTGGGGCTGACATATTTCCAATGTACAGACCGAGAGCAGCCCTGCTGAGGAGGACTTGGGGGTGTTGGTGGATGAGAGGCTGGACATGTCCTGGCCATGTGCGCTGGCAGCTCAGAAGCCAGCCTGTCCTGGGCTGCATCAAAAGCCATGCGGACAGCAGGTGACAGAGGCGACTCTGCCCCTCCACTCAGCTGTTGTGAGTGTCCATGTGGAATCCTCCATCCAACTCTCAAATCCTTGGGATAGGAATGATGTGAACCTATTGCAGTGGGTGCAGAGAAGGGCCACAAAAATAATCAGAGAGCCGAACACCTCAGCTGTGAGAAAAGGTCAAATCTTTTAACCTGTAAAAGTAAAGGTGTCAAGGAGACATTATTGCCACCTTTCAGTACTTGAAGGGGACTTACAAGAAAGATGGAGACTGACTTTTTAGTAGGGCCTGTAAGGGATAGGAGAAGGGATAATGGTTTAAAACTAAAAGAGGGTTTTAGATTCAGATTCAGATTCAGACTAGATATATGGATTTTTTTTTTTTTTTTTTTTTTTTTTTTTTTTTTTTGCAGAGGGTAATGAAACACTGGGTGGCCAGAGGGGAGCTGAATGCCCCATCCCTGGAAGTGTTCAAGTTCAGGTAGGATTTGGTTCTGAGCAGCCTGGTTGAAGATGTCCCTGCTCATTGCAGGAGGGTTGGACTATGTGATCCAGCCCAACCTTTCTATGATTTTATTTCTTATGCAAAATAAATAAGTTCTAGATTATGACTGGCAATGAAGGTCCTTTAATTTCTGGAGAAACTTAATTTCATTTGTCTGAGAGAAAAATTACATGTAAGCTAATGCCAAGATGAGAGTAAAATGAACTAATACATAAAAAGTTACCTCTGCAGCTGAACAGAAAAGCATAGATCCTTTTCCTGAAGTCGAATCCTTTTGCTGTTATCCCTGAGAAATAGGAAGTGTTTAAAGACTTTTTTATTACTTGGTAGTCTTGAAAATAAGTTGGATCTATCGATACAATTTTCTTTCTGGGTCATGTCCAGTGTTTCACTGTAAATATTTCAAAAAGGAAGCATCTGTAAGTGTCTCTCCCATCTATCAAATGCTCTTTTCACTAATAGCATTAGTTAAGAAGGGAAAATTGACTGGAATTCTTCTCCTTCCCATAGGTAACAAGACAGAAAATAAAGTGAGCATGTTAGGAAGGAAAACCAACAATCACAATATCCCAGGCTGACACTGTAACGGAATCAAATTGCAGGGGGGAGAGAGGACTACCTTCTGCATTGCAGTATTTCACTAAAAGGTAACGTGCTTTTGTCATACAACACCCAAAGATAAGTACTAAAGAGCTCATTATGTCCAAGCATCCTGTCTTGTAASCTGGGAGAGAAAAGACAAAATAAAATATTAAATAACTGTGTTCCTACTCCGGATGCGAGGCTGGGCTAGGCGCGCAAGGATGGCGGCCAGCGCTCCCGGAGCTCGGCGGCGCTGTGAGCAGGCCCTGCTGCCCACAGTGCTGCTGACGCGCAGCAGCGTCCGGGGGCCGGCCATCGCCTTGCCCCGTTCGTGCTCTTACATGGCACCTCCTGGACCGATGCTCCGGGGAGCCTGGGGCAGTGGCGGGAGAGGCCAGAGGCGCGGTCGGGAAGGCCGCGTCCCGCCCCGGGCTTGTCGCCGCCTGCGGCCGAGTCACCGTCGCTCGCCGGGACGAGACCCGCGGGGCCGCTCGCCGACCGCGGGTGCCGATGCCGTGCACAGCAAGCCGGGCGGAGGMACCACCACGGCTCGAAGCGAACGGCCCCACCAGGACCGCGGCGGGCGGGGGCTCTGCCTTAGGTACGGCCAGAGCAGAGCGGGGGTCCGCKGCACCTTCGCGGCCATAGCCGCCGCCGCTTTCCCGGGCGGGAGGCGAGGGGACCGAGCGCACCTGCCGGCCCCGAGCCGCGGGGGCATGTTGCGGTGGCTGCTGTGGGTGCCGCAGCTGGAGCCGGGGACCCAATTTCGCACAGCGTTCTCGGCGGTGCCCGCACGGGACTCTGGTGGCGGCGGCGACAACTCTGCCCGCCCTCCGCGCGGGGAAGGGCTGGTTCCGCCGGACGGGGAAGCCGAGCGCGCAGCCATCTGTGTGCAGGGTGGGAAACCTGGCGGGACCGTAGCTGAGGTCAGGCAGCGGCACCTGCTCGGGGTCCTGTAACTGGCATCCCTCGAAGGACCGGAGCGACAGATTCGGGATTTTATTTCCACTCAAGAAATAGGAGGATGATGATCAGCTGTGGCATTATTTTTCTGTACTGGTGTTAACCGCTTAACTGTAAGTTAAAGTTGCATATTAATTGTCCAGTTTTCTTAGTTMCCGTGTGATTACATGTGAAACATGGTGTTTAACTTTAGATTTGAAGAATGCAAAGCTCCTCCAAAGCGTAGTTTCAGTGTGTGTTGTGGATTAACCCTGGCAGGCATCTCAGCCCTCACCCTTCCCCTTGCAGTGGGATGGGGATGGAATCAGAAGGGCAGTTTTCCTGTGGGAAATCGCACGGGTTGAGATAAAGACAGTTTAAAAGGTAAAGCAAAACTGCATGCCAAACAAAATGTGGAATCTATTCATTATGTCCCCTTTTCTAATATTAACAGGAAAGCAGGACTTCATGAGGTTCAACAGTGACTTGGGAAGCCATATGCTGTCATGTCGCATGTCTCCTCCCTCTTTCTCCTTCTTCCCCCACCTTTGATGGCTGAGCACGGCATCATCTAGTGTGGACTGGGCCTTTGGTTGGTTTGGTTCAGCAGTTCCAGCTGTGGTCCCTGCAAACTTCTTGTACACTCAACTCCTGAGATGGGAGCCACAGGAGAAACAGAGATGGCCTTGACTCTGCGTAAGTACTGTTCAGTCATAGCTAAACATCAGAGAGTTTGAACTACTTGCTTTGGTCACAAAACACAACACCCTGCTAGTTACTAGAAAGAAAATTAACTCTTGGCCCAGTTAAAAAAGTACAGTGTGAAAGACAAAATGTTGAAATAACAGTCTTTTAAATGTCATAAAAGTTTTATTTTGCCCAATCTATTTGATTTTTCAAAGAACACCAAGTTTATTTGGTGACAATAGGAGGAGTTTTGCCTACAGATGTTCAGCAGATTGTAATGGAGAAGTTTATGAGTGTATACAGGAAAGTGTGGGGTTTGTCGGTTCTAATGGCATTAAATAAGTATGTGGCAACACTGTATATTGGTCTGGCTACTGTCTTTCCATTTACAATAGAAAAAGCCAGTTTCATTTTTTTGGAGCAGTATTTTATTAGTGGAATAATACTGCCTTCAGTTTAATCCCTGAAACAGTATGCTTCTGACTTCGGATCTTAAAAGAGAGAAAGGACGCTGTCAAATAACCTTTCTGAAAAAGGTAAACTATCAAAATATTAGCAACAGGCAATCTAAATAAAGATGGCAAATGATTGTTAATATATGGATTTCTTATTTAAGCACCAGTGATCTGTGGTTTTGCTTTTGACAAAAACCATGAACTAAAGGATAGCAAATAACTTTTTCAAAAATAGTAAGTTACTAAGGCTGTTTGTTAGTGGGGGAGTTTTACTGAGATCTTGGATAAAAAAGGATTAGGTTGTTTATTGTTCCTATACTGCTGAAGCCGATATTTCATTATAGGAATTGGAACTCCGCAATCACCGCTTGTCAGTTGCTCTCTATCCTTACCTGAGACTGGGAGATAAAGCAATGAGAGTTATCAGTGTAGACTTCATCAAGGTTCTGAAATGAGGAACATAAAATGTCCTCAGCCATCTCCATGCGAACAGAACAAATTACGAAGGAATGCAGAGAACATGTGAGAGGTTAGTAATGACASAGGAGTGACTCCAACTAAGTTTGCTATTAGTACCAGCTTTTAGTAAGAACAGTGCTAGTTGTGGAGAGTTTTAGAAGGATGTTGGAAAAGAAGGTCTGAAAATAGAAGTTGTACAGTCAAGGTAAAAACAACATCCAACTGGAAGGTGATACGAGAAAGATTCCGTTTCAAAATTCTAAAAAGACAAGCTATTGGAAAGACCCATAATGGGAGTTTAATAAAYGTGTTGTGAATGTAATGAGACAATGTGGCTAAAGCTTGAGTGATTCCTTGGCTTAGGATGGGGAAAAAAAGATGAATAAATGGAAGTTTATGAGTGCATTCTTGATCCCATGCAACATTTTAGAGTAAATTTTAGAGGGACTGTGACCAAAGAAATAAGGAAGAATGTGAATAATGTGAGCTTGATCTAGTGAAATGTGTTCCATCTGCAGCAAGGGGATTGGAACTAAATGAAGTCTTGTCCAGCCCAGGCCATTCCATGATTTGAACCATGACAAGAGCTCTTTATTGTGACCTTGCTGCAGAAGAAAACACATTGTGTAACTGCACTTGCTTGTCTGACTGGCTAGGTGTATTAATTGTTGACTGATGACAAGCTCAGATGTAGATGTGCAGTATGTTGCAACTCCAAAAGATACAATCCTTGCATGTGTTAAGAAAGAAAAGATGCACCAGTCATGAGGGCTTGTTACTTGCCATGTACAAATGGACCAGGTACAGACGTTTCTAGTCTGCTGTACCAGAGAGTAATGGAAACTGGGCACGGAAATGACTGGTGAAGGTAGACTGTTTCTTATGAGATGTTTTTAGAGTAGCCTGTCTTGTTTAATGAAAAGGTAACAAAAGTGAAGACAGGGAGGTAGTATTACTGCAGTCTGTCAGGGCCTGTTTACAGTTTAGGGGAACACTGCAAAGTAGCCATTGATACCATTAGCTACATAAGTATTAAAGCAAATCTGTCTATTTTGTATCATGTGTGTGATTTGGGGTTATATCAACATAAAAGATTAGTTTTCAGAAGAAAACTTAAATAGCCTTAAAAAAATCCATGAAAAATGTTTGATTTGCTTCAAAACTCCATAATAATTTGTAATTTAAATTCAGTTATTGCAACACAACTGTATGCTTTGCTCAAGAGAAGCAAAACTTGTTTTGCTGGTAGGTGTGGCTTTGTTACTGACATTCAAAGGGCACCAGCTATCTGCAATAAAATGTACCAGGAAGTGTCTTAGGTATTGTACCATGTTTTTTGCCCTCAGCGTTGTTCTGTACTGAACATTATTGTAATTTACCTTAAAAGTATTTAAGTTTTTATCTGTTTAAAATAAACAATTAGTAAATTATTTTAGCAAAATAACTTAGCCAAAAATAGATGGAGGACTGAATGGAACTTCACTCGACCATCTACTTTAAAAGGTACTTTTTCCTTTCCAGTGTTGCTGTTCAAAATATTTTTTTTCCTCTCGTTCATTATTTATTGCTAGCAAAAGCAGAAGAAAGAACAGGTAATAAATCGATTTTGTTATTTGCTGTTGACATAATTTAATGTATCTTGAGTTAAAAACTATTAATTCTATAGGACTGAACAGTATTTTAAGTAATAAGTAGATGAAACCAAGAGGAAGACTGTTAAATGTGACCTACTCTATGTTGTAAGAATGCTAAAATATGTAACATCCTTGGAATAAGAATGCTTAGGGGGAACTTCTGTACTTTAGAATATTTTGTAAAAAGAGTTACTACGAGTTGTTTTCAGTCACAAATCTCCACCTGAAAGTCATATGACAAGTAGCAGACTCTTACTATGTATTTGCAGTTCTGCTCTTAATTTTAAGGACTTCTGGGGTCGACTGCATTTCAGAGATAGAAAACTCAATGCTTTCTGCTGCTTCTTTTCTGCTTAGTGTGATGTAGTGAGATTTTTTGGTACCCCTGTAACTGTTCTGGTCTGTAAAACAATTTCTTGGTAGCTAGCAAAGGCTGCTGTAAATCACGTCAGCCTTGGCATATGGGACATTTTAAGGGGTGTGTTGTGACTGTGGTTCTCCCTAGTTCACTTTTTAATGAAAGAGCAATTGTGAAAATACCGTACTTTACTTGAAGGCATGAAGAATTAATTTTCATCTGCGAGAAACATTTTTGTCATCTTGTGCAATAGCATCAGTTTATTCCATCTTGGCATTTTACTCCACAGTTCTGCTGGCATTTGGGGGAACTCTCTTGTACCGATTCAGTTTTCTGATCTAATGTGAATTTGATTGATCTGGGACACTCTTTTCTCAAGAATCTCTGTGGTACAAGCAGGCCTTTGAAAAGTCTTGCTGTCACTTTCCCGTTTGTGGATCATATCTGAACATCTAAAGGTGAATTTGTAGAGAAAACTTTTAWTCTAGGCTCCACTAGTGCGTGAGAATTTCATTAACTCCCACTTAGGCATTAACACTTGCTAGCACAAGTGCTGCTAAAGACTTTGGCTGTCCAGGCACTCAGGGCTGCCTCCCTGTTCCTGCAGCAGCAAGAGTTTAAGACCTGACCCCTAAACTGTGGCAGGAACTGAGCCAGCATTAATGCAGAGGAGGCCCAGATCTCCAGCAAGCATTATGTGGTGACCTTTGCTGCAACTCCTGCCTTGTAGAGGGCTGCATAGGGTAGAGTGACTGAGACCGAGTTTCATACCTGCATAGATTTCACCTATCTTCTGCTGGATTGTATGAATCGACCTTCCTCTCTATGTATGGTCTCATCTGTGAATTGCAAGTTAGGGAATTAATAAATTAGTGATTATATCTGCGCCGTTGTGTGCAATCCCCAATTAGCACGTTTATTATGAACTTGGTTAATTCTGTATGCATTTCGTTTATCTGCCTCTAGCTTATCTGTGAGAAGTCTGGTTGAGGGGTTTTTTTAAACATAACGTTACACACTGTGTAAAGAGAAAAAGAAAAATTTTGCTTTAAGAATTACTGCATAATTAATAAATTGTATACCCTAAAATTTGGATTATAGAAAAAATAATTGCTCCTTGTATTGCTGTATATACTTTGTTATATACTCCTAACAGAACCTTCAACGTACAGAAACTGCTTCACACATCTGACAAATAGAGGCATTCAGTGTTGCATACAGTATCGCCCATACCATTAAAGACATGTTCTGTGACTTTTCATAAAAGCACAGTAGCTGGGTCTCTGATTAAGTTAGTGCACAATGATAGAGACTTACCCTATTTTGTTTGTGACACTCCTGAGCAACGATCATGGGTCAGTATTAATCTCATAATATGTATTTTCTTTTCTGCAGATGCGGCAGTATAAAGGACAAGGACAGAGAAATTTACGTCCATGCTTAGATCCATACAAAATGATGTGTGCAGGGAAAAAATCATACTTTGCTGCTGCTGTGTGCATTCTTACTGTAACCTCATTGCTCACAGTTTCTTATCTAAAGTTACAGATACTTTCCCATTACCCAAAAGTAATTCAAGAAGGTAGAAGATGTAGAGGGGAAATTGCCAATAGCACAATAACAGCATTAAAAGGTAACAAAACTTTTATTATATCCCCATACTTTGATGACAGAGAAAGCAAAGTCACTCGTCTGATTGGAATTGTTCACCATGAAGATGTAAAACAACTGTACTGCTGGTTCTGCTGTCAGCCCAGTGGAAAGATCTATGTATCAAAAGCAAAAATCGATGTTCATTCAGATAGATTTGGATTCCCTTATGGTGCAGCAGATATAGTTTGTTTGGAACCTGAAAACTGTGATCCAAATCATGTATCGGTTCATCAATCTCCACATGGAAATATTGACCAGCTGCCAAGGTTTGAAATTAAAAACCGCAAGGCTGAGACCTTTTCTGTTGACTTCACTGTGTGCATCTCTGCCATGTTTGGAAACTACAACAATGTCTTGCAGTTTATACAGAGTATGGAAATGTACAAGATACTTGGAGTACAGAAAGTGGTGATCTATAAGAACAACTGCAGCCATCTGATGGAGAAAGTTTTGAAGTTTTATATAGAAGAAGGAACTGTCGAGATAATTCCCTGGCCAATAAACTCACACCTCAAGGTTTCTTCTGAATGGCGCTTCATGCAAGATGGAACACACATTGGCTACTATGGACAAATCACAGCTTTAAATGACTGTATATACCGTAACATGGAAAGGAGCAAGTTTGTGGTTCTTAATGATGCTGATGAAATAATTCTTCCCCTTAAGCACCCAGACTGGAAAACAATGATGAACAGTCTTCAGGAAAAAAACCCAGGGACTAGTGTTTTCCTCTTTGAGAACCATATCTTCCCTGAAACTGTATCTACTCCCATGTTCAACATTTCATTTTGGAATACTGTGCCAGGTGTTAACATATTACAGCATGTGTACAGAGAGCCTGACAGGAAAGATGTAATCAATCCCAGGAAAATGATAGTTGATCCACGAAAGGTGATTCAGACTTCGGTGCATTCTGTCCTACGTGCTTATGGGAACAGTGTGAATGTTCCCATGGATGTTGCCCTCGTTTATCACTGTCGGAAGGCCCTTCAAAGTGACCTTCCCAGGCAATCCCTYATCAGGGATACAACACTGTGGAGATACAATTCATCATTAATAATGAATGTTAACAAGGTGCTATCTCAAACCAAGCTCAAAAGTGAAACCACGTTTCCCTGAGGGAAGGTGGAGCACTACCTGTATTGTGGGAAGACAAGAGGATATAATTTAAAGATTATGTTACATTGATTTCCACATGGAGTTTACATTTTGCAGCAATTATTTAGGGAATCTATAGCAAACCCATGAATCATTTAATGATATCAAGGGTCAGTACAGATTGCAGTACTTCTGGAAAATGTACAGTTTGTTATCAATTAAAACAATAAGAAAAATCAGTATTTGTCAACTGATTCAAATAATGCAAACCTATGCAAGTTTTCAACCTATGTAAAAAAAAGTTCAACTACAGTCGTTAATGTTAAAGGAGGTAGCATTCTTAATTCTTGCAATTTATATGATACTGGGTACCAAATTTGTATATGTCCATTTGAGTAAAAGGTAAACAAATAATTCAGCACGATCTGCCTTTCAGTTGTAAAAAAAAAAAAAAAAAAAATAGCCCCTTATCCTCTTGGAAATAGTGTTTGTTAAAGATGTGGTGGATAGTAACACTAAACACAGCCACTCGAATTCTGCTGATGCAAGTGTCTCGTTTAACTGAGCTTTGGAGACACGTAAGTTTAGGAAGAGTGATCCCACCAGTTCTGAATTATTTAAGTGCTGAGTTGTGTTGGAAAGCTTTAAGAGGCAAGGGATACAGATTTAATTTAAAGAAAAAGATACTTTTGTGTACTGAAAAGAATCTGTATCGAGGAGTTAAAAATAGATGGCTAGACAACTTTTATTAAATGAAATTGTTGGGTTTTTTTTTTTTTTTTTGGCTCCTTGAAGCCTTGCAGGAAAAAAAATGTTTCCTGAAATGTTGACACGAGTTGGATTTAAATCCTTTATGAGATGGGTAAATTGAATTACATTGTTTCCCTATGTAGGTGCAAGGGTACAGAGGCTGCACTTTTCTCAATCTCTATCTGGAAATAGTGCTAAGTAGTTACTTTTGCTGAAGGGTCAGATGGAAACCAAAGCAAACCAAAAAAACATTTGCTCACACTGGTTTCACAGTTTTGGTTTTACAATTTCAGTTTCTGTTTGATAAGCCCCCAGAGGTATATGCATTTTATACATTGYGGCAGTGTATTAGCGCCTTCCTACTGAAGGCACATCTTAAGGCAGCAATAGGTTTGGTGTCTGACAGAGAGAAGAGTATGTGTGAGGGCAGATATGCTGTTTAAAATTTCTACATCAGTATCATGCTTTCATTTCTTCATCTACTTGATAATGGCACATGCCTGTATCCTTAAGGAACTCTATCATTAGTGGACTAGTATCATTAGAAGATGTCCAAAAGGATTTTTTACTTGGCTTCACAGTGTCTGGCAGCATCTCCCACTCTGTAGCAACAAACTGGCAGCTGTATTAATATCTGAGTGAGTGCTGCAGTCAGTTGTACAATCTTGCATGGCAACAGGTCCATTTAGAATTTCAGACTTATTGTTTAGAAGGGACAACTGGAAGTCCAACTCGGTGTTTAGAGCATGGTGCGCTCAGAGCTTTGTCTAGGAGGGCTGGGCAACCTGTTTTTTAGTCTTAAACTAATTGCACAGTAGACAAAAACCATTGGCCATTGTTTTGCTGCATGATGCCAAAATGAGTCTGACTTTGTTTTCTTTATAGCTTCTTAGTTAGCTGGAAACAATAGCAATGCCTTCCCATCCCATGGCCACCACCCTTCCCTTTCCCCACCATTTTTTCTGCAAGGCAAGGCCAAGCTTGGCTCTCAGTTTCTCAGCCACCTTTTGCACCACATCTCTGTGGACTCTGCATCATCAAGATCACTAACAATTAGTTAACCAAGTTTTCCTGTTTTGCCAACTTGGAAACTAGGACATTTTTGGCACGCCTCTGTTTAATCTTTCAAAGTCAATGCAGTGCTATGTAGGTGGCTCCTTCAGAAGAAGCTGAGTTACTGCACACATCCTAACTATATTGCTACATTACTTCCACATTAAAAATGATGAGAACTGGGTTTCATCACTAGTTTCTGAATACTATTTCATGGAAGCCTTCTTCACTTTGGAGTGAGACAACAAAAGCTTGAAGAGCTCATCATTTATGCCCCAGACAGTGCAGTTTGAATTTGGTTTCCGGTTGATAAAATCCTTGACTTGCAGGCATTTTTCAAAGTAAATTGGTGTGAATAAAGGAGAGAAAACTGAGTGCTTAGGAGTCTGGCCTTGTATTTGAGACTGCTCCACTGTAACCTTATGCAGCTCCTATGGCATCACTCAAATACTGATTCTTGCATATGAAAAATCTTCTTCATTGGTGTAATCCATACTGCATACATTTTGGAATCTTGGCCTTCATTCAGTATTAAGTATAAAATCAGGTCTCCTTGCATAGTGGGAAGAAAAGTCACACCAATAGTAGTAATGCTAGACATTTTTGTCTTTTCAAGGGCAGAAGCCAATCTTCAGGAAAACTCATGTTTTCAAGTTGCATGAAAAAACTGACATTAAGGAGAGAAGGAGGCAGAGAAGCCAATTTAAAGAATTTCTAAAGCATGTGATGTAGCTGGAGCTTTTAGGTACGTGTCAAATAGTACAAAAGTATGTGGACAAGTATTTGCTACTCAGCAATTAACTTGTGTGCATCAAGTCTCCTGTGATGAACAGTAAGACCTTTTTCTACTGTGCTTTTCTTCAGACTTTTGATTTTTTTTTTTCACCAGAGATGTGGCATTCTGTCATTTGCCCCTGCTTTCCAACTCTAGACATAGCAACTAATTTGAGTGCATTACATTAACTGCAACTTTTGAAGTGAATGGGCTGGTAGACATCATTTAATGTAAGAAAGTGACCTGCTGTAGAGACTAAAAATCACCTTACCATTCATGTGAACTAAAATATGTTCTAATACAAACTAGAAGAACTATAAAATACCAATTGAGCCATTCTGAATTACCATCAGCAAGTATGATGAATATGTCAGAGGTTCTCCAAGGTTAATTGCGACCACAAGCTCTATCAAATAAAGTGTTGTATCATTCTGGCTGATGAGATCATATTGACACGTTCTTGAACTTATAACATCGGATCCTACTTGAAGGACTCGATTCTTCTGTTTCAAAGGCTAAGTATTTAAAGCTATCATATGGAAAAATATTTTGAAGACAAAGATTCTGGAGAGAAAGCGTTTGCTATCTTCTCGTTTTTGTTAAGTGGCCATACACTGTAACTGTATTTGCTGTTACACATACAAAAGCCTGTGATTCTAAAATAGTAGCTTCACCTTCTGTTTCAACAACAAAATAAGGGTCAGAAGTCAGGTCAAGCACAACTTGATTTCAGCCTTAACAACAGATTTAAATGATTTCAACATTACAAGTTATACTTCAGAGCCCAAATAGGTATATTTGAACATGAATATAGACAAAAGTTTGTGGTGAATACTGTTAGCATGCTGCATTGCATTATGTCCAAAATAACCCATTCCCAAATGCCCAAATGAAAGAAAATGATTGTGCATTGCATGATGATGCCACTGGGTGTGCAACTTTGGTTCATGCAAAGTCTCATTTTATGGACACACTGCTGATAGGCCATATATTCCTGAAGATTCTGTATGTGTGAGCTTTTCAGCCATGTTCTTTCCATAACACCAAGTGGATACTATGGTCTGGCATACTGGTGGCAAAAACCAAGCCTGTATCATTTTGGCCATTTAGTCCATTTAACCAAGACATTTCACCAGCCAAAAAGCTTGAACCTCTCTTTGACTTTCTATATTCTGGTAGAGGCCAGCGGCTTATCAGTTTTTCTGTCCTCAAGTCCATTATATATAGGTATCTGTTGTCAAAGAGTAGAGCAAATATCTCTCCAAAGCCCAGCAAGGACACATTTGAGAAGTCTGGAGGTTTGATAACCCTAGAAGACAAGAAAACAGTGTTAGAATCTCCCTTACAATGTAGTCATGAGCTTGAATTACTAAACGAAGTCCTGTGCGTCTACGGAAAACGTGCCTTAACTCGTCATTCTGAAATAATTTAGAACTGAATGCAATTTTTTCAAATTAAGCAACTGAACGTAGCTACAGTGGTTTCAGTTCTGACTTTGTGCATTCAGGACAGACCCTTCTGAACATAAAGGCTAAAGTTTGAAAGGGATTATTCTGCAAAGCATAAGAAAAAAGCCATTTCCAGATACACACAAAGGAGCAAATGAAGATGTGTTTTACAGTAAATTTCCATATGGATTTCATGCTTCAATGTCATTAATCTAAGAAGTAAAAGCTGTTATTKTTCTTTGGACCACTCTTACAAAAGGCAGAAGTAAAACACAGACATGCATTCTTGTGATAAGCATTGATGGTAAGACAAATCATCCAAGACCGGTCCTTGGAATGCTGTTTTACTGATGTTTCATGCTAAGTTAAGCATGGGGAGAAATAAAGGTTTTTTTTAGTTCCCCAATACCTTTATGATGTTTTACCTTAACAAATAAAACCTGGAACAGAAACCGAAGAGTTGAGTTTTCCACAACTGCCTGCACATGTGATCACAGCATTACATAAAGCACAGAACTAAGGCACAAAAATGTATGGAGATGAAAATTGCTCTCAGCAGTGAGAGACCATCTTTCTCTTTTGAAAGATGGGAGGGTCAACTAAGAGGTGAAATTACTCAGTTATTCTTACTGATAAGACACACTTCTTCTGAATTAGATCTTTCAAAGGTAGATACTCCCCAAATATTCAGGCTGTTTAAATTAAGAGTCTGCCAGCAGTTCTAAAATGTGTTCTTTTCTTTAGTAAGTTACTGTCTTTGATGCTACCATTTCTAACTCATACAGCCTGATTCTTTTTATAGAAATGGAGTGCCATCATGTTCGGTCCTTTATTGCAGTCTGATAGATTCCACTATCATTCCACAGCATTAGTGACAGATAGTAGTGCTATAAGGAAAAAAAGAGTCTCTTAAATTTCCTGCCCCATCAAAGGATCCCCAGAAATGCCTGCTTGGTTCTCTGTATAGCAGTCTCCTTGGCAACATTAGCTCTGGGTCCCTACATTTTCACATTCACAACTACAGCCCTGCAGTCTGATTTAAGTCTGTACTGAAACACTTCAGCTTACAGAATGAAAATATGGAAAAAAACTAGCATGTGGCCAGAAACCAAACAAACAATTCATGTTATCAGATGAGAAATTAGAATTAAACCTCTCAATATGTGTAAAGCGAGATGCTTACAGGATTTTTATCAAGATTCTTTTGGTCTACATCTAAAGCAATTACTAAAACTAGTATGATCTACTTCTTATTTATTAATGAAGACTGGATCCTAAACTGAACGGTTTACCTGAGAATATCATAGCTGGCAAAGTCCCACTGGTATAATCCTAGTGCTGAACTGCACACAATGTATTTACCATCAAAGTGCAGTCTGGGCTGTAGGGAGATGCTGCGGTCTTCAGAAACAGACAACGTTCTTAAGCACTTGCAATTTATTTCTCTTCCAATAGGCCAAATCTACAATTAAAACACAGTTTAAACCCATAAAAAATTCACTCTATAAACGGTTATACAAATAGAGCAAGCCTCACAGTCTCTTTTTAAGCATCAGGTTAATGTGTACATGGGGATTTTTTCAGGAATATTTATCTCCTTCAGATAGGAACATCAATTCTTCGAGTGATTTATCCTAGAGTTTTGGTGCAGTATGTGCTGTTCCTAGCCAAAAAATTACCAGTGAAAATAAGTACTTTATAGAATGGGAAAAAGAAATAAATTAACCATCCGATTGGGACAGTTTTCATAACAGTTTCAGTTATGAAAAACTTCTGTAGCCACAAACTTACAGCACTCCCCAACCCTAAATTCCCCAACAGTAACAGTATTTGAAATTAAGTGCTTTAAGACATGAACTGAAAGCAATGGTTTTTTGCATTATCATTTCTGTAGAGCTGTCATTTAAAATGAAATGCTAAGAGCATTGAAAAACTAGCTTTTGAAGAGTTTAGTGTTCTGCACGCAGCCTCACAAGTGGGAAATGTGAGAAGAAAATAAAGCCTTCTATTATTTGTAATACTAGTATTAGTATTTATTATCTGTAAACTTCAGCAAATAACTCAAGCTTTTTATTTCCCAATGTACCAAAATAATTTATGCATGAAATACGGTACCTACCTTGATTTCATACTTATCTGCACTTAGGAGAATATAATCCCCAGGACTATGCATAAGAGATTTGACTTTGCACTTCTGCAAAACTACCTGTAATTGAAGGATGGTAATGATTTCTGTTGATGCTGTTAAGTAAACATTCATTTGCACTTTCCTTTCACTTCACTGACCACCTATAAACCATACCCATGAATAAAAGCAGTACAAATACTTTCAGCAAGTGAAGGAAAACTACAGTTTACAGTCTTCTTGTTCCTACTAGCGACAACTTACTGTATTAATAAGCAAACATATACACCTCACTTGTACAGTCACAGCCCCTACCCTCCAAGTTCTGAAATAAGCAGAAGAAAAATACTGTTTCATGCTCAGATTTTTGTTATCAAGATCATTCGATTTCTTATATAATTTTTAAAGCGGCGTTCTTTCAGAACCAGTTTTTATTCAGTCTTTGCATCAAACCCTGCTTCCTAATATTACCCCAGCTGCTTTGGAACTGAAATACCTTCAATGGTCTGAAAGGTTTAATTGCAGCTTAAGTATCTTTTCTGTTGAAATGTTATTTCATAGTATTTCCAGATGTTCTTCAGATTATAAACATAGTTGCAGCATTAGGATTAGGAAACAAAAATTAGAACACTTTAGAAATGTAGTGCAARTAAGTGTACAAGATTAATTAAAAATCAATATTCCCACCTTAGTGACCCATTCTGTGTGTCCAGTAAGGGTATTCAGGCACGTTCCTGCTGATAAGGCCCATACTTTCACAGTGAAGTCTGCAGAGCCACTGACCAGAATATCAAGTTCATCATTGTAATCCACRCTAAAAACTACAAGGAAATAGGGAACTAAGTAAGGAATACCAGTCTATATTGTATGTGTTTTCCTGTGAGACACTAGTAGCCTCTATATTAATTTAGCAGCCTCTAAATTCATAAGCCACTACATCTTTAATTGTTACTCTTCAACTACATACATGAATTGTTGCTCTGGATGCCTTAGTTTACATTGCAAAATTACCGGGGGTTTTTCGCCCAAATTAAGAGCATGYATGTCTGTGATTACTTTACGACTGGATTATGCCAAAGTGTAACTTAAGCCAGTTCCTATTTCCAGAGTTTTAGTATAACACTTTCAGCAGGATTAATACCTTTTATAGATACACGGGAAAAAAACTACAGCTGAGTTGAGGATATTTTTAACTACATGACAAATAATTTAATTACGAGGGAAATGCAAATACATATTCCCAGGTCCCATTTTGCTCTTTCATGCAAGCTCATGTCCAGTCTGAGAATATAAAGAATGGCCATGTATGCCCTGCTACCTAAGCTTTGCACCTCTTTGAGACTTGAAATTACTGAATAGCCACAGCATTTAGTGTCACTTCCATGCAATTGCACAACACTACATGGCTAAGCTTTTGCACATTCAAGGACAAATTTATATCTGTTTTAGTCACTTCCCCTTTTGGGGGGAACTGAGGTGACTAAGTGACAGAGAAGAKAGGCTGAACAAACCAAAAAAGCTAATGTGCAAAAAGCTAACTTAAATTATATTTTGTTTGATGACAATGTACATTACTTGACCAGTGAAATTACAATTTGAAAATTTCAACATACCTGCACCAGTATGTCCTCTAAAATGCTGTGTCTTTGTCCCAGAGCTCCATTCCCAACAGGCTACTGTGTTATCAAAAGATCCTGTTACAAGCTTTTGTTCATCAAACTTCACTGCAGCACAGGTGTGTGTCTGGATACCATATATGCACTGACCTGTGCTTACATCCCACAGTTTTGCAGACAAGTCATCTGATCCTAGAATATAAAAGAACAGGATAATCGCAAGCAAAGAGTAAATAATATTTCTGATTCTATACTCGTCTTTCTTTACCTTAAATAAAGTATTTTCATGGAATCATAGAATGATTATGGTTGGAAGTGACCTCTGGAGGTCAACTCTTCCAATCGCCCTAGTAAAGCAGGGCCACCTACAGCCAGCTGCCCAGGACCATGACCAGATGGCTTTTGAGTGTGACCAAGGATGGATGCTCCACAATCTCCTTGGGCAACCTGTGCTCCATCACTCTCACTGTAAAAACATAAAGGAACAAATCACTCTCACAGTAGAAAGTGTTTCAAGGGGAATCTCCTGTGTTTCAGTTTGTGAGGCCTCCTGTTTCACTGCCTCTTGYTCCATCATTGGGCATCACTGAAAAGAGCCTGCTTCCATCTTCTCTGCACCTTCACTTCAGTTATTTCTGTACACTGATAGCATCCTGGGCCCTCACTTCTTCAGGATAAGAAATTCCAGCTCTCTCAGCCTTTCTTCATATGAAAGATGCTCCAGTCCCTTTATAACCTTCGTGGCCTTTCACTGGACTCTCCAGTGTGTCCCTGTCTCTACTAGGGAGCCCAAAAGTGGATACAATGCTCCACCAAGCCTCACCASTGCTGAGAAGAGGGGAAGGAGCACCCCACTCAACCTGCTGGCAACTCCTCCTAAAGCAGCCCAGGATACCCTTTGCCTTCTTTTCAGCAAGGGAACATTGGGGCTTATGCTCACTTGGTGTCTGCCAGGACACTTAGGTCCTTCTCTGCCAAGCTGCTTTCCAGTTTGGTGGCCCCTACCATATACTGATGCTGTGGAGTTGATCGGCTTCAGGTGCAGGGCTTGGCACTTCCYCTTGTTTTTCTCATTAAATTGTACTTTCAAGCTGCCTGAATTAGGAAATATGCCCTAGTTTTAACTCTCAGCACTACAGCAAAGCAGCTTATTTTCACATTAAGGAATCTACAAGATACCTGGCCTACTAGGTTCTTCACACCCTTTAATCACCTTCTACAGATTCTGGCACTACTCCGACTGACACTATCCACTGAAATAGATGCATGGAAACAGATGCATGGAAGTTATACGTGACACATCACTCTCAGGTTTGCAGAGCCACTAACTATCCTGCAAGCTTTGGTTAGTTTCAGGAGGGAAAGGGGTCCTCCAAATCCTGAAATACACCAGACCCATAAGGGCCACTTTCTTTTCCTACCTAAAGTACCTCTTTTTTTAAGTGCAAGCTTTGCAGAGCAAAATAAAACTCTGGGTTCTTTACACCTGTTTATTCTCCTGGGGGCTTCAGCACAGAAGTTGTCAGAAAGTTCTGACAATGCTGTTTTTGTGTGTATAACATTCTCTAGTGAGTAGGTAAGTGAAAGACTGGCTAGAATCTAGCTGTTGGCTCCTAGTAAGCATCCTAGTGTACCAAAAAATGTGTGATTGAAGTCAATATTCCCAATTTAGTGTATAATACTGTCATTCAAAATGACGATAAAATCCTAGAAAATATGCTCTGATAGTAGTTCATAGTAACTCTGTTATTATTCTTTCCTACTAAGACTTCATATATGTTCTGTCTGTAACTTAAGTTCAAATTGAAATCTTGAAGTCTATAAAGGGGGAAGCTGAAATTATGTGCAAGTTAGACTAGTAGCAAGGGTAAATCCAGTTTACAGCGCTTCATAAAGCACTTACGTTAAGAACTGGAAGTGCTTACAGTCTTGTGTCAAGGAAGAAGATAGAACATTTTCTTCCATACTTTGGGAGACTGAAGTTCTCTCACAGCCCAAAGTCCTTTTAATTGAAAGCTATGGTCTAAGAGGATAACTAACATGTCTGTACTTCTCAAACAGGCTTACTAATAGTAACAGCATGATCAAAATCATCGAGCAGTCTGGACTGGAGGGATCCTTAAAAATCATTTCGTTCCAAACACCCTGCCATGGACAGGGACAATGATACCTGCTGTTGCTATTTCTTCAACCAACAAAGAAATTGGTCTCCTTGTGTTCTTACTGAAGTGACTAATGAGTTTATTAGTACACCAGATTTTTCAGAAACTGAAAAAAAAAAAGGAAGTGAGTATGAATTATGATCTGTATTCACACTATGAAAATGATTTGTCTGGTAAAGGAAAAGCAAATTGTCATTAATCACACAAGAAGGGAGAGAAAACAAAGACTTTTTTGTCRTCCGTCCTTCCTACCTGTACACAGAAGTCCATCTTTATAGTAAAGTGCATATACTCTGGCACTGTGTCCGATTAAAGAGGATGTCTCAAAGGCTTTGTGGTCCTTCAGCTGCTTCATCCTTAAAATAGCTTTTAGGTAAACCTTCTTCCAATGCAGAGGATCCTGAACAGAGTCATCTATCTGCCAACCCAAATTCTTACAGGCAGTCTGCCACACCTCTGTACAGGCACTTATAACCTTGTTCCACTGCTTAGAGACGAGGCAACACGTGAGTAAGGTCTGCGGATCAAGCCATTTTAACAGATAAAAGCTAAGTTCCAATGGAAGAAGTTTGAGGAAGTCCCTCTTGAGGAGAATCTCTAGATTATTGGAGAGGTGCCTGAGCTGGACTGCTCCACTCAAGCTAATCAGGTGATCCAGAGTTTCATTTTTCTGCAAGTCCGTCAGAGAAAGAAATGCAATAGAAATGTTATCAAGCCATGCTTCAAAGTCCTTTTTCTCCATAAGGTTATGGAAAAATTTACCTGTGATACATCAAAATACTGTATTAGTTCCGTTCAGAAAACAAGGTAAGAATCACATCTTTATTACTGGTACATCGGTATTCCACATGGCACGGTAACACATAGATTGAAGTGACCAAATGCATTTTAAAATATTTACTAGGTTAGCACTAAGCATTTGCATGCACCTTGAACTACCATTTGTCCCACACCAGACTTAAAAGTAAATTGTGTTTAGCTAGTGAACATTAGCATTCGTTGTGAATGCTGACATCTTTCTTGTTGTAGGTTAACACTTTCAAATTCTGAGTCCAATAAGGTTGGGGTTAGTTTAAGTTTTAAACCTACTATAGCAAAAAAAACCAGTGTCTTAGACTTTACTCACGGTTATACTGATTAAAGGAAAAAAAAACCAAAGCACATAAGCAGAGTCATAGGCTAGTTACTAACTGAACTACCTCATACCTTTATCCTGAACTATTTTATATATGAAGCAGGTAACCAGTTAGTTTTAAAAACCATATAAAGAGGCGTCTGACAAACGGTATTGAAGGATATGTTAGTCATCTTTCTATTTGTGAAGACCTGAGCTTGTACCGATCTAGTGTAAGTTTTGACATGTCTGCACCAGTTTGACCTAAATGCATTAAAAAAATCCTGTTGGGGTTTTTTTTTCCTACTTTTGTTAGTTTATTTCCACTGTGGCTTAACTGTGAAATTGAATACCATCTCCTGAACTACATCCTGTATGCACTTATACTATCCTGTGACATCTCAAGTTCCTACAATGACTTGGGACCATGAATCAACAAGATAAACATCAGGTAAACAATAAAAATTAAAAAAAAAAAAAAAAAAAAAAAAAAAAAAAAAAAAAATCTCTGTAAGTTCTACTTCCATTCATTAGTCAACGATGTGAATTTAATAGCAGCTCCCAAACTGAAAGAATGGAGGTAAGAGTAGGACGCACTTTATATACAGACGTTTTACCATCATAGAGTAAGATCTTAAGAGTATACCCCTTAACAGGGCATAGGCATATTGTTAAGTAAGTGTCCACCATAAAAGGCTGCACATGGCATGCAATTGTTGCATGCACACGATAAATTTCTGGATGTCAAATGCATAGCAGCAGCTCTGCTCCTATCAATTCACAAGTTCACACAGTAACTTTTACTGCTGACAGCACTTACCAGCTTTCCTCAGCACGTATGTCAGGAAATATAGTTGCTGTTCAAATAGGCATGTGTTCCCTTCAAAACAAATAAAAAATTCTAACAGGCTAGCTATGAAGGAAAATTCCGTGAGCTGCAAGGCGTTAGTCGTATTCAACACGTGAAGCTAATACTGAAATTAAGGGCTGCCGTGAGGCCGCTGAAAGCGGTGCTCGAGCCTGTCTTGCAGGTGTTATGCAGCCAGCCCCATCCGCTCCCCCCGCCCGCTCCCGTGTAGCTCCGCACGCAAAAGGCACGGCGAGTACTGGGGACGCAGCGCCGCTGCTGCCGACAGCTCCGCGTCGCTCACCTCAGGTAGCAGCCCGGCGCGGGGTGACCGTCGGCGGGCAGTCGCCACGGCTTGCGCGGACTCCAGGAGCCCAGCAGGAACGGGTGCTTCCCTGCGGCCATCGCTCCCACGGGAGGAACGGCTCTSAGCACTTCCGCGGCCCGCGCCACAACCTGCGCGCACCCACGACAGACGGGTGACCCTCAAGACGAGACGGAGGCCTCAGGACCACCCGGTGSTGACCGGGGAAGAGGGCCGGGCGAGCCCGCGCCGGGCGAACCGGCAGCAACGGAGAGAAAGCGCTCCCCGAGCCGCCGCTCGCACCATCGGGCGGCTTCCGGCGCATCCAACGTCATCACCCGCCGCCGCCGCCGCCCTCCAGCCGCTTCCGCCCGCTCCGCTCCGCTGCTGCTGCTGC